TCATCCATTCATGCGCGTCACTAATTAGATGACGAGGCATTTGGCTATTTTACCAGAGTCTTCGTTCTGCCGGACTCTCGCCACCATTGAGTGCCATCGTTGACACTCGAGGCATAGGCAGCGCCCTCGCACCACCTGTGTACGACGACGTTTCAGATTGGGTGGACCCAAAGGGTATTCATTGTTCCCCCTTGCTCAGGAGGAACCCCTCCGGGCCCTCCCGATGGTGCCCTGAATTGGCTGCCCTCCGATACCGATCTAACCAACTCAGGGATCCCCGACAGAGCCACCAAAGTAGGTGCCGGGGGACTCCATTTCGGGTCTTTTTGTGTCTCCCGTTGACTGGGCGCGCCGTTGCAACCCTTCACCATCATCCATAGTGTCCCTTCCATCGGTTTGCATCTGCGCACTACTGTATCGTATGAACGGTCGCCCTGCCCCCATACCCAATCGAGTACTTTTAACCTTCATCCACCGACCCACACCACCAATGGAACCTGGTTGGTGGTGCATGTTATTTGTGGGGGGAAACCGGAGCGCCCGGAGAAAACCCACATAGTACAGGAGCACATGCGGGCCCATCCCGAAAGGATGCCCCCCCTGGCCTGCTCCAAGGGGCCGCCTCCTCGAGACTTGGCATCAGTTACCCTTCTGAGCCTTCTGTACTATCCCTCTAGATGCGGGAGGTACGATGGAGGAGGGCACCACACAAGCAACGGGCCACCTATTACCTTCCAGCATGACCCCCGTCACCGCCCTTGACTCCTCCTAGGCCATCACGAGGTGGCCTGGGGGGGGTGTCCGTCGCCCACCGGAGAACCACCGCACGAGAGAGGGAAGAATGCCTTTTCACCTCCCAACCCCGCACGCCGGACCCCGGCCGACTGGCGGACCCCCCTGGGTTGCTTCTCCCGCAACTGTCAAGCGTTCGACTTTGGTGTGTGTCAAAACTCCACCTGGACACTCCATCGATCCCTCCAGGAGCAAAGGTCTTATGCTACCCGATAAGATATCGGGGGCATCCTCCACTCCCCACACGGAGAGCCAAGAGTCCCCAGGGAGCCTTTCGGCACACCTTTCCTTTACTTTCCTGAACCCCATACCGGCGGTTCTTTTTGCCCTTTGAGTCTTTCCTCAGTTTCTTAGCTTTAAATGAACTCCATTCCGGCAGTTCCTGAGGGCCTTCCTCATTTGCCAAGCCCTCTAGTACCGTTCCCTTTTGCACCGTTTCAATCTTTGGTGACCTCCAAATCCGGCAGTTTCTCTTATTCCCTTTCTTTGAATTCCTCATGTTAGTAGTTTCTTAGTTTTTATTGAACTCCATTCCGGCAGTTCGTGAGGGCCCACCACTTTGCTATACCCTCCGGCCGCGGCACTCCGCGGCCTGTGCTCTGGACACGCCCAGAGCCGCCAACCCCCACCGCGCCACACCCGTCCGCCGGCCCACCTTCACAGCCGGGCGCGGACACCGCGCCGAGAGACGCCCAACCCCCGAGCCGCCGGCGCGCACAAGTCGCACCGTCGACCACGGAAGCAGGCGCCCACGACGCGGGCCACGCCCGGCCTTCCGGCGGCGGCGATCGGAGGGCCAACGGCGGGGGCCGCGACACCAGCCGCGGCCCGGCACCCCATCATCCATTCTCCAATCCTGTACCGTTCATTCTGTACCGTTTAAGTCTTTACTGACCTCCAATTCCAGCAGTTTCTTATGATTCCCTTTTCTTTGAATTCATCTTGGATTTTTATTTCTTGGATTTTTACTGACCTCCAATTCCGGCAGTTTCTTATGATTCCCTCTCCTTATATTTGATCCTTTATGAACTCCATTCCGGCAGTTCATAAGGTCTTGTTCTTTCGCTCCTAAAACCACTCCACTCCATCAGTTCAAGAGGTCTTGCCTCTTTTATTGGTTCCGCCCATGTTATATAGAACTCCATTCCGGCAGTTCCTTTGAGTATCCGATTATTTCACCGGCGGACCCTCGCGGGCCTCCCACTTATTCTACACCTC